CCATTGTTACAGTCTCACCTGTGGATTTTCTTGCTTGGTCTGTTACAGGTTAGCGTTGTGGATGAGCTTGGAATCCCGGTGAAGTTTATTGGGGTTGGTGAAGGGATGGAAGACCTACAACCTTTTGACGCTGAGGCATTTGTTGAAGCCATTTTCCCATGAATTCGGGTTTTGGGCATACGTGTACTGTAAAGCTTTTTGACTCAGTCGTTGCTTTGGCTCTTCATGTAAGTTATTCTTGTTGTGTCCATTGAAACTACAATAGTGTAGGAACTAGGAAGCACAAGGCCAGGGTCGAGACGAGTTGGAGTCCGAGCTAAGCTGAGACAGAATCACAGAACTTGTCTTCCGGTCTGTAACGAGCTAGGAGCTGAAGTTTTTGTTGGTGGAGTTTGTGGACCTGCGGATCCCTTGTGTAAGAGGCTGGTAACTGTAAATTTCGAATTGCACTGGGAGGATTCGGAGAAAGAAATGGGAGAATATACTCGATCCTAATTTTTTACTGAAAAACACTGCTCTGGCTGAATTATTGTGAGAGAAAAACACTGTTTCAGCTGAAAAAAGAAGCCGAACAAACCGAATATGGGGTAAGCCGAACGGGGCCTAAATGTAACTGAATTCTTGGATTATCTGTGATCTCAACAGTTACAGATGTGCTAAGGTGATAAGGAAACTCGCACAACGCTAAGAGCGTGTTTGGCAGAGCTTTTTGCTGTTCCGGCTCCTCCTGCACCCCGTAATGTAGCAACACTGTTTATAGGAGCTGTTTTTCTCTCTCCGATAAAAAAGTCACGATCCGTGCTGCCTCCGGCTCCGGTTCCTTCGGTACTGTAGTGCGGAGCTGGAGGCTGAAAGAGCCTTGCCAAACACGCCCTGAGAGGCTACATTAAATAGCATTGAGTAACTAGTGATATGCCGGCAAGAATTCAGGACAAGTTTTTGGAGGGAGTAGTTTGGTCCTCGGCCTGGACCCCACGCAAGAAATAACTTATAGATTTGTCACATCAAAATAATTGTAAATTGTAAAATAACTCCCGTTGCAACGGCGAGACATATATGCGAGTACTACTCATCTTGTTCCAATTTTAGGTTGTTTTAGTTTTTTTTCTCAAGCAATGCAAGATAGGTTTTTATTAGTTTTGTTATGATTCAAACTTCTCTTGTTTTGATCAAGTTTATAGAAAAAAACAAAAACATCTACAGCATCAAACAAAATTTATTAGACATGCCATGAAATATATTTTAATTTCATATTTGTTTGATAATATTGACGCTAATATATTTTTCTGTAGATTAGATCAAAGTTAGTTTAAGTTAGAGAAATACAGGGAGATACTAGTAATATTTTTTAAAAAAATAAAAAATAATATATAACAATAAAAAGAAAAAAAGATGTTGCGCGCCACGGACGGCTAGTGGGCCAAGACTGCGAGACGCGTGAACCAGCAGTGGCCTGCTTCGTACTATGGTTTCTATAGAGAGAGAGAGGAAATGTACACTTTGCATCTACAGTACTCCACTGTACTCCTCGACAGTCGACACAACCCTCCGCCGCTCGCTGATCGACACTCCAAAATTCTCCTCCCCGCCGGCGCCCTTCCCTTCCAACAACGGGAGCTCGGATCCTCCTTTCTCCGGCCACTCAACCTCTCTAGGCGCAGGGAGGATTTGAGGGGCTCAAGACAAATTATTTTCACAACCTCAAGACAAATTGATGTGGCTCAATCCTGTTGCTCTAGTTTAGAAGGATATATTCACAACATTCAACCTCTAAGTGACGAGGACTCTCAGAAGCTGTTTTATAAAAGGGTTTTCCAAAGTAAGCATTGCTGCCCTCCCTACTTGGAAGAAGTTTCTCATGCAATTATAAAAAAGTGCCATGGTTTGCCACTAGCTATAATAACAATAGCTAGTTTGCTAGCTAACAAGAATTCGGATGCAAAAGAGCAATGGGAGCAAGTCAAAGATTCTATGGTTTCTATACTCAATGCACAATATGTTGGAGATATATTGTTGCTTAGCTACTATGATCTTCCTTGCCATTTGAAGACATGCTTCTTATATCTCAGTGTATTTCCAGAGGACTATAGGATTGATAGAGAAGAATTAATACGGATGTGGATAGCTGAAGGCTTTATCACTCAAGTGAAGGGACAATCCTTGGAACAAATAGGAGAAAACTATTTTAATGATCTTATCAATAGAAGCTTGATACAACCTATTGATATGATGTATGATGGTAGGGCTGGTGGCTGTCGAGTCCATGATATGGTGCTTGATCTTATCATATCCCAGTCCACAGAACAGAACTTTACCACAATAGTTGAAGGCCATGCATATAAGTCCAATAAAGTTCGCAGGCTCTCTCTTCAATCCAGATGTATGGGAAACGGAGTGATGCAGGAGATTATGGACAGGTGCTTGCAGATCCGTTCACTTATTAGCTTCCATGAATTAGATAAGCAAACATTTCAACTTTCAAAGTTCTGTTACTTGAGAGTATTGGTTTTGGAAGATGAGGATTATGGGCATCTTGGCAACCAGCAAATCAAGTATCTCGGAAGCCTTATCCAGTTAAAGTATTTGAAACTCAATTCTGCTGGTATTACCAATCTTCCAAATAGAATTGGACACCTACAGAATTTGCAGACACTAGATCTGAGTGGCAGTATTATAGAAAAAATTCCACCAACCATTGGTCGTCTGCAAAATTTGGTTCACTTCCTTGTTGGTGGTTATTATGTGTATTTTCCTGATGATATCGGAAATCTTCAAGCCTTACGCACGCTTTCATTCGTTTGCCCTTGTAACCCGGTGAACTTTGTGGGACAGCTCAGAAGATTAACCAATCTAAGGATCCTTGGAATCCAACTGCATTGCAGTTGCAGAGATAAACTTGGTGATCATGACATGGAGAGGTACCAGGAGTCTTTAGAGTCATCTCTCACTCTGTTGGCCAAACACGAGCTGAAGTCACTGGAGATTGACTTTGGAGATTACCCAGCAGCAGATAAACTGATGGATTCAATATGCAGTGATGCTCGATGTCTTCAGAAGCTCATATGCTGTCCTTCTCTTAGTAGACTTCCGCAAAGGGTGTCATCTCTTGTTAGTCTTGCCCACCTTGGCATTGGTGTCACTAAAATTAAACAGGAAGAGCTCTGCATACTCGGAGGCATTCCCTCACTGCTTTACGTCAGTCTGATTTCAAGTGAAGCCCCTGGTGACAGGCTCACCATCGGCAGCCAACTATTCTGTTGCCTGAAGGAGTTTGTTTTCCGGACCAAAGGGATTGGTGGGCTGAGGATGGTTTGTGAAAGGGAAGCGATGCCAATGCTCAAAAGATTTAATCTCGAGTTCAACTTGGCTCTACATGTGAGCAAGTACATATTTAGGTTCAGTTGTTTTTTTTTACTGAAATACTAGGCCGCCGTAGACGTAGGCAAGTTGGGTTTTTCGGTCACCTATTTGCTTTCTGAGGGTATGAGCCTTTGCAGCTCAGCTTGCTCGTCAAAGGTGACTTCGATATCGTCCTCAAATAGTGGAAGATCTTTGGCTGCTTCTCTTTTCAATTCGGAGCAGGGGCGGATCCACTACTGACGCCCAGGTATTATTCCCGGGAATACTCGACAATTTTGCCAGCATCATACATGTCAGAAACGGAACGGCTGAAACCGTCACAAGGGTAGATACAAGCAGGCAAGGACGTGATCAACCAAAGTGATAGATCCGCTATTGATTTGTTTATAACCAAAATCCATTGATTGCAACGGTACTCAATCCACCTACAAGTCAAAATTTTACTCTACAAAACGGTGGATTCACAACAGAGACGAGTACACAAGTTTTGCAAAGATCTTCGAGATGAAAGCACTAGTAGGTAAAAGCTGGGGTCGACATTGCAATATTCAGAGCCATCCCCACGAGCCATGAATCCCGGTAGGTGACAGGGTGGTGCAAGTGAAACATCTTATGCTGTCGATCTCTTACGCTTCTTGAAACTAGGAGAGTGCCCAGGTGCTCGAGCCTCACTATTTTGCATCTTGCTGGAGGCACCGCCCCTGGTTCTTTTTTGGTTGCTGCCAGGCGATTTATTGCCTCTGTTTCCTTGGCTATTTCCTGGTTGCCATTTTGACTTTGGCTTGAAATTAGTCCTATCGCCTTTGCCACCTGAATCTCTGCTTTGATGCCTTTTTGCAGCATGAGGGTTGCCTCTCCCTGTCCTTTTCTTCAAATGAAAATCCCTGCCCTGCTTCTTCCCAGTTGACCAACTATTTGGTGGTGGTCGACTAGGTGTTCCATCTTGTCCAGTTTCAGCATTAGAGTCAACCCGTTTCCTCCTGTACAACAATAAACCATTAAGCAATTTGTTAAGCACCAGAAAAAATGACTCTGCGCTAACCTTTTGCCATCACGTTGCTCATGTTCTTTTGCCTCGAGATGTGCACCATCAGTTTGGTTACGATTTCCTTTGCGACCCTGAAAATTGCAAGTACACACTATTTTGAGATGATACATATGGAGTAGAACATAACGTACAAACGATGTATCTGTATTAACTGGATGAATATAGTACATACTAAAAAAATCAGTACAGGATGTTTCTACCACCTGAGTAATAATTAAAAAGTATTTAATGATCTGCTTCAAATCATATGCCTTAACAAGGCATGCTGTTTACAAATACATATACAGGGCTACCAAAATATGTCACAGGTACACATGCAATCAATTTTACTCTTAGTCGTTACCAATATAAAGTTCATAAAAGAACTCACTAAAAACATGCCCCATTGATCAAACAAATAATCTATTGTTTCCACGGCTAAATGGCAAGTTAGTAATTTGAATCTAACCTCTTCAACACTTCTAACAAAGCCCTTGAACTTGTCAGGTGTAATTAAGTTGATAGCATCAAACCTGCATTTCCTAATCAATATTTCTAATATTAGTACAACCTGCAAATATAAGATCACAGCATGTCATTCGTACCCCTGTACAGAAAACAATAAAAAAATGGGAATTAAGCCTTGGAATATTTCTACCAACCTTCCCTTTGAAATGGTGCTTTGTAACCAATGACCATGGTAATATCCCACTTACGATATCTGCTTGCAAGTTCAATAGTTTTTGTGGTTGCAAAGAAGTTACCAATACCTTGACAAAGCCCAAGGCTGCCTAAAATCGAGCATACCAGACCCTCAACAATAGGAATTAGGAAAAGAACTGAAAAGATGGACATAGGGAATCACAGAACTGACTTTAGTTACTTCAATGGCTTTATGTTGCAGCAAAACTAATACTGACTCTATCAGATTCGGTACTTCCATGCAAAAATTAGCATCACTGTATATAAGCAATGATAGTGCAGCAATTGCTCCACTCACTATGTGAGGAGATGGACTTGAAAGATATCCCATTACCTGAATAAAAAGAAGATAGTCAATAAGCTTCAATAATAAAACTCGTAAATGCAACTTACGCACTTAACATATAGAATTACACTGATCATTTATGCCGTTCACACAAAATAATCCATGTGATTTATAGACATTACAAGTTTGCAAATAGTTGTGAATTGGAAAAAGAAAAGGCTAGGCATTTGATTAGCTACTGTTACAGCTCCATTGCGATCTTCATGCGGTTTCGTTGCTCATCACATAATTTACGAGGTGTAAGCACCATGGATACTACTTATTCAAAAGCCTCCATAGTTCTATACTTCTATATTTTCCATGACAATTGTGTAGCAAAATATAACCTGCTATCCTTTAGAAGATGCCTCCCTCTGCTCCTAAGAGAAACAATCGGAGTGTTTTGTGATACTATTAGTGGTTTAAATCTTAGTGTTGGTGATTGTATATCTTCAAAGTAGACCAAAAATGGAGTATTCTCAAACTTTTACCTAAGTTATCAAAAAACATATTAACATCTACAATACCAAATAAGTGCACTATCAAGAAATATTTCACAGTAGATTTGATGAAATCATTTTATGTCCTAGATGTTGGTGCACTTTTCTATAAACTTAGTCAAAATTGTAGAAGTTTGACATAGAAAAAAACTAAAACAACCTACACTGGAATGGAGGAGTAATATGTTTGGATTTGAGGGGATGTATCCAAATGAAGCCTAAAGATACCGATGGACATGTCAGTCCATATCTAAATGCAGAGGAAATGCCATAAGTTTATTCGGAAAAATGTTCGGCAGAAATAACTAGCAGCAGGAAACAAAAGGTAACTGTCCGACAAGACACTATTAATAAATTTCAAAACCAAATAAAACAAAAGGAAATATGTTAAGAATAGAGTATTTTATGTAGCTAACCATTGTAAACAGTCGTTGAAGATCTAAATCTGCACTATTTGACTCTGAGCTCCTCAAGTTTGTACTAGTTGCCAGGAGCACATCATACGCTAATTTTCTACTTTCCTTCTTAGACTGCACCAGAAAAAAAGAAAGGAATTTTGAATAAATAGAGGAAATTGGCATCAGAGAAAGAGAGTTTCTCATGTTACAACCTTTTCCATACACCATTACTGTTCAGATTTCCATACAGGAATGATGTACTTTTGGCATGATATTATCTAATACACATTTAATAATTGTTTAGCATGTGAAGGTAAGAAAGGAAAACCTTTAGTGCAACTATTAGCTCATTTAGAATCAAGAATGCCTTCTTGCTGGTGTTCTCTTCATTAACCTTGAAATAGTAGAAATGTATGTCAGAGAAATACAAGACAAACCCAAACTATATAAAACAAAACTAGCTAAGGCAATTCATGAACACAACGCAAGATAAGAAATGCAGTCATATTTCAATAAACATTATGTTCATCGCTCGTGACTCAGTAACAGCAACATCCAATTTCAAAATGACATCATGACGTCTTAGTTAAGTAAATCTGATCAGATAAACACATAAAGATGAAGAATGAAGTCGTCATTGAGTTACATATTTATTATAGGCACAACACGCATGCACACACACTTTGCAAAAGTACAAGTCATTTGTTCATGTCCAATTATTAATGTATAGTTGTCTACTTCTGATGCATGTTAAGTTCGATTAGTGCAGCTTAGAAAACAAACTTGTGCCTTTTGACCAGTTCCTACCTGTAATTGAAATGTTTAGTTGTTTACTTGTCGAGTACAAGTTTACTAGATAAATTTGAAACAAAAGCAACTTGAGTACTGTAAAAGACCCTGCTTTTATTTATTTTATATTTCTGTGTAGACATCACTGAGATGTAACAATATAAGCATGGTCTGCAGGCATATACGAATAAGCAAGGAAAAATAGACTCTGGCTTTGCATGATAGTCCAGAGAAACCCCATAATGGTTTCAAACAAAGCACCAGTAAAACACAGGCCCTCTAAAAGCAAAGCTCTAGATACTAATCACATTATGATCAATTGGGAAAAATTACCAACTGTCAACCTACCTTAATCATGTGAACCAATAAATGCTGGTAGCATAATAGTTGGCTTTCTAAAACTGTGCTATCCAAAGCTGACTTCATTCCATGAAGCAATAGCATCATTTCATCCAAATGAGCCAAAGAATATTCACTATGTTCCTGCAAGTAAGAAAAAGATGAGACATTAAGGTCATCTCAAGCAAGAAGAGGAAGAAAAACATCAATGTGTCATGACTGACAGGAAACTACCACTAACCTTCACAATTATGCTTAACGCGAAGAGAGCTTTACTGTGACAAGACATGCTGCTGTCCTGCAGAAGGAATAGATAAAGTTTATGAAAAAAATGAATGTTTACTACGAGTTGGGGTCTTGGGGGTAGCAGGAGCAGAAAGAAATAGAGAGTACCAGCAAACAAGACTTGATAAATCCAAAAAGTTTATCAAGCAGATCCTCATCAGCAACTTCAACAAATGTGGAAATGAGTTCTAATAGAAGAAACCTGCACAAGCAATACTAGTCATATAATGTTTAATAAATCCTAGGCTAGCACAAAGTAACAAGATGAGATTGAGCATCATCGGAAGAGACATGCACAAGCAAAACTACATCATCAAGCAGTTTGTGAGCTCTCTTTGAACAGAAACCGACTGAGCATGAAAAATTAATCTTGTAGATGAGTGAAAAGAAGCAACAAACCTCTTATTATTTAGCTCCACTGTTGCATCAGTACCTTCTTCGTCCTTCCTGTCTATCTCATTCTCATCAGTTTTGCATTCAGTACTTTCTCCATCCTTCCTATCTACCTTACCAGTTTTGAATTCAGTACTTTCTTCATCCTTCCTATCTTCCTTTTTGACAAGTTCATCCATCCTATCTTCTTCATCGGTTTTGCATTCTGGCTCCAATGGAGTATCTTCTAAATCAAACCTTTTGACTAGTGAAACAAAAAGCTCACATATGTTCATGCTACCAGAAAGTTGAGCCAGGCATCTCAAAGCAACCTGGAAAGAGATAAATGGGCCGGATCAAGTACAAAATGTGTAGTAAAATATATTGCCTATACGCATAATACATTAAAAAAAGGGGCGTACCCAGTGCAGAGAGCTCCCGCTCTGTGCGGGGTCTGGGGAAGGGTGTTAGTGGCAAGCCTTACCCTCGCCTGTGCAATGCGAGGAGACCGCGACTCGAACCCGGGACCTTCCGGTCACAGGCGGTAAGACTCTACCGCTTGCACCAGGCCCGCCCTTCATACGCATAATACATTAACAGAGAAATTATTTAAGCTCACACAACATTAGCCAATAAATGGCTGTCAAATGAAAATTATTACAAGTTAGAACTGATCCTGAAGGAAAGAGGGAAACTGGACTTCCAAATGTTCCACTGTGCATATATACACCAAAAATGCTAGTTTGTAGGTGAAACTACTGCAAATTTTGGAAAAGAGTAAAGTCCACTACCTGTCCCTAAACTTGTCCCACTGTGTCATTCCAGTCCCTAAACTCTCAAAACGATCATCTAAGTACCTAAACATTATTCAGGTCTCACTACAGTCCTATATGAGAGTTTAGGTACTTAGATGATCGTTTTGAGAGTTTAAGGGCCGGGATGACACAGTGGAATAAGTTTAGGGACCGTTGGTAGACTTTACTCTTTGGAAAACCCAACTTTATTGTGTTGGTATTTAGCATTCATCCATTTAGGGTGTTAACTGTTCAGAAAACAAAATTTTTATTCCTCCTTCTGGAGTCAACCCATAACAGATAGAGCTGTCTTTTTATTATAGCAGTGGTCATTTCAGAATGGAAAATGTGAAAGTTTGATCTTGATCATGATGGCATCAAAATCTCTTCTTAGTAAAACTTGCACTTGAATAAAAGTTCTATTATACCTCAGTAGTTTACCTATGTCAACCAAACAAATTTAGTTCACAGTTTGGAAGTACAAATCTGACAAAAATAGGTACGCTGTAACAAATCAAACTCTTGTAGAAAAAACAATGAGGCTAAAATAGGGTGCAGCAAGATGATTTTTTAAGACGTAACTAAATTAGGTATTATAAGATAAGATGTTTCACAGCATGTACACTACAGATTTAATACTTAAAAATTCAAATAGTCACAGGTAACCAATTAAAAAGTTGAAAGAAATGAGTAGGAGATGCACCTTCAAATGAGCACGCTTTTCAGGTGAGGAGTCAAGGAAATATTCCGTGAAAGTGCAGAGAAGACTGGTAGAATGTGATGCTAGAACTTTCAAGTTCTTGCGGGCATCTTTTTTGGAGCACCTATCTAAACGTGCACATTTGAAGCTATCAGGTTTTGAGGAGAACAAGGCTGAAAGTTCCATATAGATTTCAACGTCTTGACCACCAGTACTTAATCTTCTGGTCCCATCTAGAAGTTGCTGAGAAACAATAAAAAAATATATAAGATATGGCCTGAACCATCTTTATAATTCTGAAGGCAGAAATATCAAAGGGATCTATATAACAAACAACAAAAGAACAGCATTGTATGATAGCTGAGCATCCAAACCTGCAGGGCTTTAACAGCAGATTTGTATAGACAGTCATCACACTTTGAAATCTCCACCAGCAACTTGGACAGGGAACCAAAGCTATGATGTACATCAATCGGATAGCGGCAGAAGGAAGGAAGCAAGTTCCACAGTTGATCAGTCCAAGATTGCAACTCTTTACGTTTCCTTTCTTTCTTGACTGAAATTAAAGAAAAAATATATGAAATTGGGTTTTGTGTGCTTTTGGATGAGTTATTTGTATCTAGTTACTTACCCCTGTTAGATGCATTTTGTACAGATTTTGCTAGTGGTACAATATGCTCTAGAAAAAATTGCAGCGGAGCTCCGTATGTATACTTGTCCAGAATAGGTAGAAGCCAAGTGTTTGAGCATGTCAACCGGTTTTCATCAAAAGCTATTGGAAGTAATGAAAGTGCTTTATCTGGTCCCATAGCAATCACTGCTGCTCCAATGCATTCTTCAACCTGCAGGTGATATAAGTTCAACAAAAACTAGAGTTTAAGCACTTAAATATAATTCTGTCACGAAAGAAGTTGAGAAATGTTTTATATTGAGGGGCATCACAGTAATCAAGAACAAAGTAAATACCATTATACCAATATAAATGAACTTACATTCCTCAGTTGTGATTCTTTGTCCACTTTCATAGCAAACTTTGCCAAAGTAAGTAGGATATCTTTCATAAAGATAAAAGAGCTTTCTCCTGGAAAAATAATTCAAACAGAATAGTTAATGAATCATTTGACTGAATGATAAGATCATACAAAGAGCAGGGCATTGGCACATATGCAAAAAGGATTCACAACAGATTTGAAAGGTATTTTCATCTGTCTGTCTAAAATGATTACACAGGTGCTCCTAACTTTGCAGCTAACACATTTTTATCATTTTATGGTGCATCATCTACCCTTTTGTAGTGTTTCAAGTGCTTGTTTGTAATCAACAAGCACATTTTGCATATGATATGTAGAAAAGGCACATGCAGTTTTATGTGGAGGTAAAATCACATTCAAAAATCAAGATGGTGAGCTTAAAGAGTTCAGAATATCTCCGCAATAGTCCAATTGAAGATAAGAGATGCCGCTGCTCAAAAAACTGAAGACATACCAAGTTTCAGAAATAAACCCAATACTACTGTTAAGATACTATCCGGAGGATAAGCACACGTGTGAAGTCTGCTGTTGATTGTTAAACAGATTGATTTCATGGCACTTTGATCACTCAAACCCTCAAAGCCACTGTTGGTTATCTGTGGTCCATTAGCGACAAAAACATTTTGGTCAATATGAGAATCAATACAGTCTTGCACAACTTTTGCTATATCATCCGAACATTTTCTGCCCAGAATTAAGTATCCTGCCAAATTGAGAGTTAAACATAGGTTACATTGTTAAGCACTATATTCCATATATAAAGAATAATCAAAAAGAGAAAAGAAACAGTTGCCACTAGAAGGGTGCGTAAGCGTGATCCACAAATTACAGATTCTGAAGGATGCAATATTCGCAAGAAATCTAAGTAGACAAGTACATATTAAAATGGCGACAGCATACGAGATATGCTCTAAAAAACAACCTGAAAAAACTAGATGGCAGCTCTGAACAGTCAGGAGACACTAAAGGAATAATTCCTTCCTATTGAAACACTGAATACATTGGAGGAAGCATGGTGTATTTCCAACTATGGTCAGCCAATTATGTCAATAGGAAAAACTTTTTTTCTGGATGGATATGTGTATACCATAAACTCATAATAAAAGCGTCAGTATATATAATTAGACAAGGCTGTGCATAAGACATGTAAACATACACACCTGAAACTGCCTCGAATGCAGTTGGAAAAACTTCCATCCACAACTTTGAGCGGCCAACAAGTTTATCCAAGCAAATTTTAATTAGGTGAAATGCTGAGACAATGGTATCATCAGGCTTCTTCTCATCATAAGGCAGGTAAGCAACCACCGAGGATACAAGACTCTCCACCTCGGATTCAACACCTTCAGCCTTCAGATGATCCAACAAGGTTGCCAAAAGCCTTAGGACGTGCCTCGTAAGTGGGGTAAAACAAGGGCCCAATAACTGATAAGCATCCAAGAACACCTTCTTCCTTGCCTTCTTTGATAGATATGGAACTAAATTCACCATTGTACCTAGCATATGAGCCGCTTCTGTCTCTTTACCCTCCGAAATATCTATATTCGAATGGATAAGACTTTGGGCTGAAGAAATGTGCTTCTCAAACATGCCAGTTGCAGCATTGCTAGCTTTCTTCGTGGAATCACACTGTCCCAAGTAAGCAAACAGCTTTTCAACACTCTCCTGCGCGCATTTTCGAACCTAGAAAGCAGCGATTGACATCCACATGAGCGAGCTTGCTAAATGTCTATTGCTAATTCAGTAATTCCTAGTACTACTATGCTACTAGCTGTCTCACCTTGGCCCGCTGGTCCACAGAAGCCGCAAGGAGAGCTTCCAGAGGTGCCGCCACAGCATCCCAATCAGTTGCAGCATCGAGATGGAGGGTCAAGTGGCCGAGGGACTTGACCACCGAGCGCACGGTGCCTGTCGTGAGCCGGGAGGCGTCGGGGGACGACAGGAAGGCGGCGAGTGCGGAGGCAGATTCGGAGGCGGCGTCTGGCGGGAGGGACGAAGGGGAGGATGGGATGTGGGGCAGCAGGATGACAAGCAGAGAGGCGAGGGCGGCGGCGGCGGCGGGGTCTGCAGACCCGGCGGCACGAAGGGCAGAGACGGCCGCGGGGAGGTAGGACGCTGGGGTAAGCGGCAGGCCGTCGTCGAGGAGGATGGAGCGGATGGCGGCGCCTGAGGCGAGGAGGTGGCGGTGCTGCGGGGCGGCTGAGCGGCCGTAGCGAGCTGTGAGGGCGGCGCAGGCGTCGCCAGAGAAGGACTCGAGGGGGAGCGGGGTTTGAGAGGGCTCGTCGGCGTCGGAGTCGTTGTCCGCGTTGGCGGCGGCCGCCGAGGCTCTCTGCTTCCTCTTCATGGCCGCGGTGGTGAGGGGCCGCCGGAAGGGGTTTGGGGTTTTCCTTGTTTTTTTAGCTGGGCTGCCCTAGGATTAAAATTTTGACCATTTACTCCTTTTGGTTTTTTTTTTTTTGAGCTGGGGCTGAGGTTGTTACCCTATATAGGAATATAGGATTACAATTTGGACTATTTACTCATTCGGTTCAAACGATCTCGTATATTTTTTGAAACTTTTGTAGCAAGGACACATTTGAATTTGAATTACTATATGTATGTATAACTTACATAGATGTATTACTATATATAGTATAATTTGTCGTTGTCTCTATTTTCTCTATATTTTGGCGCTCCTGGCCACCCACCTCTTGTGGTTGTGGCTGACACCATACTCTTTCCATCTATAACAATCTCATGTACAAACTTTTCAAAATTTAGATCATTGTACGAGCAACTAAATATGAACAATCATTTTCTCGCGATGAAATTTGACCAAAGTTTCATCCAAAATGTGACCATGTTTTTCACTTGTCCTGAAATATAATAACTTTTAATTGTACTAATCAAATAAACCATCTAAAGTTTTACCAGGTTTTATTAAAAGAACAATAATATTATGATATTAAATAGATAAATTTATGAAAATATATTTTATAATATTTCTAATAAATCTCATTTTATAACGTAAATATTTTTTAATTAGTTTCAGTAAACATAGTCGGATTTAGGATGGCTTGGCTTAGAATAATTAAACTGCCACTATATTTCAGGACATAAAGATAAAGAGTATGTGAGAGAGCATCAGCATATTCACAACAGGCATAAAATCAGCTCAATGTGCACGGGAACAAAATTACTAGTTCATGGGAGTAGATATATAGTCGCAAGTGTATGCATTGCTTGTTGTGTAGTTGAAATAGATAAGCATGTGGTTTTAGAAAACCAGGAAAAAGCGGGAAATCTGAGTTCAGGGTCATCTACTGGGTGAGTATTTTTAGCCCAATACCTCTTGCGTTGGATACAAGTGGGCTGGCTCGAAACAAACATGCAGAGCGCAAGCCGCGATGACACGCTCACTCACATTACACAGACCCACGACACAAACCACTGCGTGCCCGTTGGAGCCTCCCTGCTACACAACCTTATCCCTGCGCGGCCATCACCCCATCTCCGCCCCCCGCCCCCATTTGAACACTAGCCAGAGATGGAGACGGAGATGGAGACAAAGATAGAAATGGAGAGGATGAATGAACATATACTCGGCTGTTAGTGGCAATCTTCCTGGGAGGATCACGAGCAAGAGGGGGAGGACCGTGAGCAAGGAAATCCTTAACCAAGGAGGCAAACCAAAATCGACTCTCCCATGTAGTCAAGGTACGCTTGCCCGCTAACAATTATGAACAAAAATTAGGTTATAAAGATGGCGTAAAAAATGTCATGATAAGTGGTCATCATACAACAATTTACCCCTTAATTAGTTAGGAGCTCAGGGGCTACATCCAGTGGGTGCACTCGTGTGCCCCCCCCCGGGGATAATGAAAAGGGCCATTGAGCCTATGGCGGTCCACTCAAAAAGCGGCCTCGAAGCCCTAGAAAAACACCCTAGGACTGACCCTCTATCAAGTTCCATGCTTGGGGACTTGAAAAGCTTCTGAGTGTGCCTAGCCTCAGACAGGCGTGACCGACCAAGGAAGGTCAAGGACTGGGGCCCCTGAGGAGCTGTCTCGACCAACGTTCCATCTGCAGTGATGGGGGAATCTTCTGGTAGATCCAGATAGGTATCCAGAGCCTGACATGCGGGCAAAGCCACGGAGCTCCAGGGCCTGCTCTTGCCTCCTAGGATATAAGGAGGGAAGAGGCTCCTGTAGAGAATATGCTCTTCTACCATCTCTCTTCATCTCTTTCATTGTGAGAACTCGCTTGAGCATTCTAACATGAAGAACTCGCTAATGGATGTAGGGCTTAGAAGCTAAAACCAAGATAAATCCTTTGTCTTGAGTGCTAAATTAACGAAGTCCCACACATCGACCTACCAATGAATCCACTAATCCCTAGTCGTGGTTACAAACCCGCGACAAGTCCCTTGCCTCGCATTATATATCCGAGAGGTAGCAGTTACAAAAGGTGTTGGGGCCTATGTGTTGATCGGAGATGGCGAGTGCCATCACCAGTCCTCCTCGTTGCTTTTGTTGCACTATGCAGAGAGTGGAAAAACGTACATGTACATACCCATCAGATCGACCAACCACAATGGTTCACCCATGTCTAAGTTGTTGTTGCAACATCGCTATAGTAGCACACAGTAGCTATCACCATCACCTATTCCGCATGAGGCAACCACAGTGTGTAGGTCGTGGTGTATCATGTGCACATTATTGCTTTGTATGACAATCGAATGGTGGGCCCCTCATCTTGGTATTCGACATCTGCGCTCGCCCCCTTGGCCAACTAGTCAGACCCCTCGGTGGGGCTTCGAGTGGCTAGGGCACTGGAAGTTGTCTCCTCTAGTTGGATGCATCTATATAGGTCGAAGAGCATTTTTATAGGTTGGACGAGAGTCCTTGGCTTGTTGTTGCCCATTTCCACTGGGGGTAGGGGACAAGCACACCCGATGCATAGCCCCTGAGACCTTGTCCGACTGGTCTGATTTGAGCAGGGATTAGTCTTTTATGGAGTTATAATATGTTGATGAGGGTACATGTTGTACAAGTACTCGCCAAGAGTCATGCATAACAATAGAAGATGATGGAGCTTACTTAGTGTAAGACCTAATACAGGCAAAACTACGTCAGCTGGTGATGATACAAACAAATATAAAGAAAGAGGGAGAATGGGCTGTTGAAGGAGGATTCTCTTTGGAGATGAGAGATTTATATATCTATCATGAATTTCTGGTATTTGGATATGATGGTGATGAAGAATGGAAGATTTGAAGCAACAAGGGAGGAGGAAGCTAAGGAAGATGAGATAGAGCCTAAGCATCACAAAGACAAGGAGCTACTAGAGGATGATGAAGATGTAAATAGAGTACTGATTATTCATTGAGACCTTAAACTAGACACTATTGCACGAGGGCCGATTGACGATCAAGATCACCGAATACTAGGAAAGCAAATGTTACATTGCCTTCATATAAAACATCTAGAGGGCAAACAACAAGGGTGAAAAAAAGAAGCCTATGGTCGTATCAAAGAAAGAGCACAATTATGTGAGTTGAAGAAAGGGCATACCCTATCACGACGATAAGAGAAGAAGACCTGTAATGCTAGAGGACAGAAGATCCAAGGAACAGTCTATCCACCAGAGACAAGTAGTACGCATTGAGGGGAGTGTTGAAATTTGCAATGCATACTTGGAAGGTTCTAGAAGAGTTTAGAGATTGCATGAGAGAGGTATTTGCGTTGGAAGCTTCTAGAAGAATTTCAAGATAATGGAAAGATATTTGCCATGGAAGACTCTAGAGTTATCTTCATGGCAAAAGAATAAGATACTAACTATGCTTCATGGTGAAGTATGGAATATCTTAGAGCTAGATATTTTTGCATGGCAAAAAATATCTAGAAAACTAGATAAGAACGAAGAAATTTGTAGAGTATAGGTATTTCTTCCGAATAGCGTGGAATGTGCCACATGACACATTTCTAGAGGTCATATAACACTATAAATAGTGGGTGCATTTCAATTAATAGGGATCATGCCACTATAAGAGCAAGCGTAACAATGGTCTTATAGCCAAGCTAGTCGATTTTTTACTAATGTGTAAGAGAGAAGGAAGGAAAAAACGGAAAAACATGGGGCATGGTTGAAAAGTTGTACATATATTAACAAAAAAATTATATACAAATAGTAGACAACTATTATATATATATAGCTTAGCTTTTACAATTATTTACTATAGAAGTTGTATTACGCGTTTAGTCGGAAGCTTGGGAGCAGGCAGGATCGCGAGAAGAGGGGAGGATCGCGAGTGGGTTAAGACGTGGGCTCTAAGGACTAAGGTTGAGGTTGAGAAGGATGTTTTTTGTGGGGAGGCCATTTGCGTTGGTGGCGGCGTGAAGGCATGGAAGATCTTTTTATTGAATTATATGACAGTGTATGTCTGGCGGATGAACTATGTATGTCTAGAGAAAATGAACGAACTCCTGTCAAAGAATTGGAATTGTAAAAATAAGGTGGAGCTAGTAAAGGAATCGAGGAAAAGTTGGAAAATGATGAGCTAATGATATATTGCTACATCGATTTCCATAATTGTTGGGAAGACAAATACTGTAATCAACACAGTCAATTTGAGGACATAAGTTAGTATATCTTGATGATGAACTCTCTCTCTTAATTTTCACGTCTTATTTTTTATTTGTGACTAGTTTAGAACTAAACTCATTACAATTCTATTTGTAGCGAAGAAAAGATGTATGTATTATTCATGTGGTTCTGTGCCTTGTTTAATATTTAAAGGCCCTTGGCTTAGAACTTTATAAATATTTTTCAGTCAAGATCAGAGGAAGAAATGAAGGTTCGAATTGGTCGCTGCAAGTGTATGGGTTGATTGTTGTATGTGATTTTGTTGATCCTCAATGCAACGTAATCTTCAACCAGTACCGGGATGAATGCCAAATCGTCACCGAAGAGGCTCGTGTTGTTTTCTAAGTTTTCCTTCATTAATGTAATCCCCTTCCTCTTTTTTCTATGATATGGTGATGCTAATCCTGTTATCACTATAACAACACACATTTCTTATCTTATTAGTATAAAAGTGTTAGATCGTTCACAGGTTGCACCTTTTCTGCTGCAGTTACCTTATCTTTTACTTTCATATATGTTCTTTTTTCTTTGTTTCTTCGTGCTTCGCTGTAGGAACTAACAAATCCCGTTTGCTGATGAGTTCTACGGTTAGCCAAAGGAGATACCTTCGCAACTTTATGAATTACATACTAGAAAAAGTGTTGTTGATCCTAATATAACTATATCTTCTGTTGGATCTGTGATTTTCACTGTTGCTCCTTTAGAACTGCAGTTAATACTCAATGGTAGCAACTAGGAATAAGCAATTTGGGAATCATGTGAGTTGGATACATCAATTCAACTGTGTATATTTATGTAGAAAGCATTGTTGCCTTGTCTTCTACAACTGAGTAGATCATATGTATTTCTCTAAGTTCTTGCTTGTTAATATCCATAGTAAAGGCGCAAAGAAATGCACGCAATACCTACTGATGTGCTAGAAATTTGTAAGAAAAAATTGTTTTATTGAAAAAGTAGAGCTGCTTATATGTTCCCTTTGTTTTTTTTATTTCATTCTTACTTTGATCAGATAACTATGCAGCTTATATTTTCTCACAACTAAAAAGACTAAAGAGTGGACACTGTTTTGGTGCGACATCCTAACGTGGGGTCCATGGTTCTGCCTGCTGCGATCCCTCACCCCTCGCTCCTACGCCCATCCCTTATGACAAAATTGAATAGGAAGGAAACAAACCTGGCTCCCATGATTTCAGAGCGCCCCCATCGTCACCCTCACCACGTCGCCGTCACACGCGCCCGCTCGAGTGATCCGCTTGACGAGCTCGAGCGTGAAGACTTCTTCAGGCTCAAGAAGATCCAAGGGTACAAGAAGAGAGAGATCGAGCGCCAGATGGCCGCCGCCAAGCTGTTCGCAGAGGAACAACTCGCCAAGGATCTCGCGCTCAAGAGGGGCATCTCTGTGGGGGTTGCGGCAAATCTGCTGGGCGCTGGTGGGTAGAAGGACGACGGCATCATCTTCTGATCACTCCTTCCATGGTCATCCAATCATTCAATCGGTGCATAGCATCATTCATCAACACATTGTCCTCTTATTCTGGATCTGGGATGAGAAAACTTACACGATATGTGTCAGGTGCGATGGTTCCTTTCATTCCGTGAATAATGCTACTATAGTTCCTTTGATTGTACCAATATCAGTCGGGCATTGCTATTAATTTTTTACTTCTTCTTAGATGGATCCAAGATACTTTCCCTAAATGTGTACATAAGGTCCAAAAATATTCTTTCTCGTGATAAACGATCTAACTAGAAAGTAGCTGTTGATTGATTTCAACAAGATACACTAATCACAATCACATTGCTAATATTTTTAGTTTTTTTCACTTTACATCATGTTTATTGAAAGGTTGAAAACAACACAATACACTTGCAGGTGTTCATGCTTGAGTTAATTTATTTGAACTCTGTAGTACCTGTGTGTTCATGTGAACAAGGCATGGTAATCACAAACACATTACTGATTCAGTCATGCCTATGATATTGCTAATGCATTTCATTTGTAGAGAGAGTGGACTAACTTATTTTTAATTTTTTATTCTTTTCTTTTTGTTTTCTTTCTTCGCTTCTATTTATTTTACTCTTTAATTTATTTTTTAATTGTTCTTTATTCTTATTTTTTTGTGGTTCTTTATTCTTGTTTCCTTTTTTCTTTCATTTTTGTTTTATATGACTCAATATTTTATTTATATTTTTTATTTCCATGTTTTATTCTTTTCTTCTTCTTCTATTTCTTTCTCCTTTCTGTTTTTTTGTGTCTGTGGATTTCTCATTTTCATTTTTTTTATTTTCATTTAACTATAATAATTTTTAGTCTTATTTTTAGTTTTTCTTTTTATTCTATGAGGTATCTATGATGCGAAAATCTTCTCTCTCGGTCGATCGAAACAGAGCCACACGCCGAGCACCGAGCATGGACATTGCATTAGATGGTGCACGGCCCACATGGAGTGCACAACCGCAGGAGCAACATTATCATTCACTAGGCTGAAGCGCTGGGCAGGTTTTTGTCGTTCAGTTCTTATTAAAAGAAGTTCTTTTTTATTTTCTTTTCTTGTTTCATTTTTTCATATTTTTTTATTTCTTTCTTGTTTTTTATTTCTTTTTTGTTTTTATTTCTTTTCCTTTTTCAATTTTGTCTTTTTGTTTTTCGTAGAGTTTTTTATCTTTATCTTTTTTTTCTATTGTATCCTAATTAATTATTTTTTCATGTTTACTTTTTTTATTTTTTTATTCTATGAGATGTCTATTACTTATTTTGTAATGTTTGCGTAGTATATATTGATATTCTATGATGTATTTTATGACGTTCACATAGTGTATATGTGATGTTCTATATTGTATTTTTGTGATGTTCCCGTGGTACATACATGTCATGTTCTATGATGTGTTTTTGCGATGTTCATATAGTATACATGTGATGTTCTATGTTGTATTTTTTGTGATATTTATGTGTTATACATGTGATGTTCTATGATGTATTATTTGTGATGTTCAGGTGGTATACATGTGATGTTCCATGATGTTTTTGTAGTGTTCACGTACTATACAGGTCATGTTCTTTGTTTACTCTGTGATGTTCACGTAATATACATGTAATGTTCTATGTCGTATTTTGTGATGTTCATTTAGTGTACATGTGATGTTCTATGATGCATTTTATGATATTCGCGTGGTATACATATGCGGCGTGTTCGCTGGTTAGTGCTGGTGCTGGTTTGGATTGACTGGTGCTGGGTTTTTTTGAGAGAAAAATACTGTTGGCTGCTTGAATAAGCCTGGCTGAAACCAACAAGCGAACATGGTGATGATAGTAGATGTATTTTGTGAGGTTCACATGGTATACAGTGATTTTCTACGATGTATTTTAGAATGTTAACATTGTATAAAGGTGGAACATTGTTTGCTGAATCAGAACTTTGTATCTCCTCAATAAAAATTATTCTATTTTCATGAGATAAATGTTCGTTAATGATTTTTTTAAATATATCCATGTGGGGTCCTGTTTTGAAGAATTTATTACAAAAAAGTTGATGGCGTAATCAGAATTTTTTTTCAATACTTGGTTTGTGAACTATGAATTTTTGAAGTTTCATAAAACCATTAGTACCCATGTTGATGCAAGGGAATCTTTTTCTGATAGGCTGGCCAAAATAAAAAAAAAACTAATTTTAATCTAACTGATGCGCTGAGTACAAGTGAATCCGAATCATATATGCATATAATAATTAAAATACAATAGGTGGATAGTTTGGCCAAACAAATTAAGTCTATGTACAAATAGCCACGCACGTATCCGTAAAACATTATCATTCCCGCGTCCTTTGTTCGCTCGTTTTATGAGTCGTATTTTTTTTTCAATGAACGAACAATGTTTTTTTTTTTTATAACAAATCAGCGCGCCGGCTATTCAGCGAAGTGAATAGGGGCGGCGCGCGGCTACTGTTTGGCCGGCCGGAGCGGGAGCGCGCCAGCGTGGACGACACGGGCGGGAAACTAGGAGTGCGCCAGCGCGGGCGAGAAAATCATCGGCGCTAGGACTAGGATACGGCCGCCCGGACGTTAGAAGCCCCCAGGGACGTGGCTAGTTCCACGTGTGATCAGATTAGATTAGGGAAAGCTATAGGATATTTTAGGTAGAATCCGGATGCGAGAAGACCCACGCCTTTTGTAAACTGAACCAATCCAAGTAATAGATCAATCTTGCCTAATTCCTGTCTTCCCTTTGCAGAGGCTATTGCTGGCTAAATGGCTAATCCCTGCGGTCTAGAGTTCAGGCTAGCGTATAGATTATCCCTCCAACACTACTTCCATCGAACTGATAAATTGCATCTGAGTGTAGGGACTTCAACGAAGCAAGGGGTCTCCGACAAGCACAAAGGATCTTGTTGTATTTTCCTTTGATTGTAGGGGCATTTGTGTAATGTGGGCTAGAACGTCTGTACGCCTTCTCGTATGTTTTCCCTAACTTTGATACAGTCAGGCATTATTAAAAAAAATCAACTTGTAGGATGAGTGCTAAAATATCAACCATATACTCCTTCTGTGTTTAACTTTAAACCAATCACTAATATTCTAAATTTTAGATGGTTATATGAGTAATTAAGTATGAACCATTTTTTTTTTGGAGATTTGAACAACTATATTTGTGAAAAAAACAGTATAAATCAGTACCTGCCTTCCATGAACCATGCTATTTTAGAAACATATGTACATGTACTTCCTCCATCCCACGGTGCATTTTCAGGTGTCCCAAGTCAAATAAACCATAAAGTTTGAAGTTTTTTTTTTCAAGACGAACAAGAATATTTACGACATCAAAGAAATGAATTATTATGGTGAAAATACATTTCGTAATGTCTCTAATGCATCTCATTGATATCGTAAATGCCCTTGTTCTTTTCAACAAATTTAGTCGAAACTTAGGATGGTTGACTTAGAATAGCTGAAATTTCACTGTATTTCAGGACAAGAGAGCGCCAGAGAGGAGTAGCATATTCACAACAGGCATGTGTGTGAGAACGAATTTACTAGTTCGCGGGGACAAAAGGTGTAGCTTTCAGCACGAGATCAGTTTTCCGGCGTGCCGTGATCCCATAAGCTTCAACCATGTCTAGCTCGCTGGGATCTGCTCCACCGGGCAGCTCCCAGTCGAAGTGATAAAGCAGGCTCGCAAGCGCCATCTCAATGTTGGCCAGCCCAAACGTCAAGCCCGGGCACATCCTTCGGCCGCCGCCGCCGGGGAGGAACCTGAAGTCTGCGCCGCTGAAATCCACCGTGCCATCGCCTTCGCCCTCGCCGTCGAACCTCTCAGGTTTAAACTCGCTCGCGTCAGGCCACCACCTCTCGTCTCTGCCGATCGCCCACGCGTTGACGAACACCGTGGTGCCCGCGGGCACGTCGTGGCCCATGATCGTGATCGGCTCAGCACAGGACCTTGGGAGGATGAGCGGCAATGGAGGGTGCAGCCTGAGCGTCTCCCTGATCACTGCCTGGAGGTAGGGTAGACGCCCCTGGATGTCCGCCTCGGCTACCCTTGTCTTGCCCTGAAGGACTCGCCGGACCTCTGACTGCGCTCGCCGCATCACGCCCGGGTTCTTGGCGAGCTCCGACATGGTCCATATGGTCGTCGTCGCTGTAGTCTCTGAGCCAGCGGCGAAGACATCCTGATGGAACAATTGAAACAGTTTTCTCATCAGGTACCAGAGGAATAGAGGAAGCCATGGCAATGGGGAGGTGACTTACGAACAACACCGCGCAGACAACTTCTGTGGTGAGCACGGTCTCCAGCCCACCATCGCGCTGAAGCCGTAGCAGGACGTCGAGGATGTCGTCGTCCTCAGAGCCCTCGCCGTCGTTGTTGGCCGCCTTGCTTGCATGGTCCTGGATGATGGCTTGCACGATGCTGTGCACCTTGTCGTGCACCTCCCTCGCGGCTCGCAGGGCCCCGGCGCCGAGCGCCCTGGCGAGGCGCGAGCCCGGGAACAGGTCGACGAGGTTGAACCCGGCGAGGAGCCTGAGCGCCTCGTCCAGCTCGGCGATGTACTCGTCCCTCATCGGGCACCTGTCGCCGACGGCGCACCTCATCAGGACGTCGTTCATGAGGACCTTGACCCGCTCGCTGACGTTCACGACCGGCGGCGACGTCGCCGCGACGGACCGGACCAGGCTCGCCGCCTCCTCCTCCCGGATGGGGCGGAAGGACAGCACGCGCCTGGGGCTCAGCAGCTCCGTGGCGCAGAGCCGGCGGACCTCCTTCCAGTGCGGGCAGCCGGAGGGCGCGAAGGCGATGTTCTGGCCACCGTAGGAGAGGATGTCGGCGGTCACGTACAGGGGCCGGTTGGAGACGACGGCGTCGTGCGTCCTCAGCACCTGCCTCGCCGCCTCCGGGGAGGAGACCACCACGGTGGGGACGTGCCCGAGGCGGAGGAGCACGACGTC